CCCAAGCTGTCCTCATTTCCTGGTCCAGTTCCTTGTTCTTTTCCCGCGTTTCTTTCTCTTTCTTTCCCTTCTCCTTGGCGCTTCCTTTCTTGCTGATCTTCCGGCCTCCTTCCTTAGCGCCTAAGGTAGGGGACTCTGCAGGTCGGGGCGGCTGCTCGGGTGTCTTAGGAGGCTTGAGAGTGTTGGCATTACTGATGAGGACCAGCGCCATCTCCAGATAGGCGTGCTTCATTAAACTGAAGAGATAAAAAACACCATAGTACGGAGGAGATTGAACAAATGAAACACAATTGCATGAAAGCAAGGGAGGATAAAAAGGAAGTTTTTTTAAATCTAAGATTTTCTGCCAGATACATCCGGGATGGCAAAGGAGAGATAGGGAGGGGTCCAAGGGAGGGGCACACTTACCCAAGATCGTGATCAGAAATAAAGGTGCACTGTACAGCTTCCACCAGTGTGTTAACTACCGTACGGGGAGATATCTGACCACTCGGAAGCATCTGCCTTTGAACTTGACCTGGTCGAAACAAGTGCAAAAAGTATCATAAACAAGAGTGTAATGAGGATTACTACGTAAATACTTAAAGTCAAAGATTAAAAGGTAAGGGCACACTTACCAAGAGTCAACAACAGCTGTGCTTCAATAGATTTCCGCTGACAAGCAGCGGTTCTCGCTAGTTCAAGCCCTAGTTCCAGTTCTCTGACTGCAGTCTGCCACTCGGCTGGAATGACGTTCGAGTCCCGATCATGTTCAGACAGGTGGGTTTGTTTGGTGAGAGTTCGACCGATACGAAGTTTAAGGTCAATCAGAGGGAGAAGCTGACGGAAATAGATGTTATGTAGAGGCCTAACAGGAGATGTCTCCACCAGATTTACATCGCTTCCAGACTGGGTCAACTATTAAGAACCAAAAAACGAAAAAAACGGGAATGAAACTGTCTATAAAAATGAAACAAAATGGCATCAATTGCGATGAAATAATGTCAATCGTTTTTCTTCAATCTGTTCTTTTATAAAATTGCGGACATTTTTAATATTTTCTTGAAATTTCATTCATTCGATCCAAAAATGGCTCTATCAGTATGCACCCTGCGGCAAAATCTGACTTTTGAGTTTTGAAAAATAGTGCTGAACCCTTAACCTCCCATAAGTGACCAAGACAGAATTTCTCTTTACAATATCAGTACAATATGAAGGAGACAAGAGACGAGAATAAAGAAAAATATCAAGTAGGGGATTATAGGTTTATCCAATACCAAATTCTCCAAAATTACAAAATATGAACTGTACGGAAGACAGTAAGGAGAATCACTGATGAGATCTTACAAGTGACGGGGTTAGTACATTTCGAGCAAGAACTGTAAATATTTGTGATGTGTGCAACTAAAAATACCGATGAACTCTTTGGCAAAGTACTTTTCTTAATTAGGTCATTTCTCTACCCAGGATACTATCGAGTTGTCAGAGAAATCTCACTTATGACGGAATGGCATCCAATCCAGAGGAAAATCAGTATGCATATTTTCCATACTGTTCTCTATACATTTCCAAAGGCGCTGACAAGGAGAATTTGTCTAACAATCAAGATTGAACTTCTTCATCCGGTGATTATTTCCTTTTTTCTCGTGACTTTTATGTTTGCTTCGGGCGTGATATTGTAAGGAGAAATTAGATGCTAGTCACTCTTGAGGGTTAAGGGGTTAAGAGACTTTGTACTTGGAAAAATTTTCCATTTAACTCTCTTCCTTGAATCACCGTTCATTACCTGCTCAAGTAAATAAGTCATAGCTCTTGTGTACGCTGACAGAGGGTCGTTAAGATACGACATGGTGGAAGATATGTGACCCGAAGGTCTGATATCAGCGTGCTGAACGATCGTCAGAGCCAATAACTGTTTTCCTGAGAAGGACAAAGCAGGACTCTGCTCCAGACTGAGAACGACTTTCTGTAACGAGAACAAACAAACAGCTCAAGAGCTGGTACAAATGTTGAAAAAGAAACGAAGAAATCTTTATTGGATAGTCTGGAAAACGAAGATTCCTATCTCACTGCTGAAAAAATTATTTCAAGTTCAAAGACTGTAAAATGAAATCGAATTGATCAAATTGTCTGTTTCTTACCACCCTTATGTAACCACCCTCTTGTATGCTACTTATTGATTGATTAGTTTTTGTTTGCAGCTGTTCTTTAAATTCCTTAATTTCTAGTCTTTAACCTCTTCATCTATGTAATAATCAAGTAGTAATCAAGTCTTCAGTGATCAGTTGATTGATCTGCCTCAACTGGCAAATCTGTTAACTGCGGGTCACCTTATTTTTTTATTTTGTAGTTAAATGAAAAAAATGTGAAGTGCGAAATCATTTTCCTTGCCTACGGTCAAACACGAATTATTCAACGTTTATGTAAAAGTTCTTAAGTTTTATTTGTTCTACCTCTAGCGTTTCCAGCAAGTCAGGCCCCATTTTTCCTTGCTGTAAATTCTGGACTACACTCAACAAAGAGAATTCAGCCATAAGTTCTATGTCACCAAATGCTTCTGCTTCGTCCAAACCTGTTATGGATATTGAAAAGAGATATTCTGGTCAATGATGCCATAAAAATTGCGAAAGGGGGAAAGTAGAATACTCCAGGTCGCTTCATAAAATAGAAACTATGATGAGATCCTTCTGGCAATGGGCTCCTTTTGCTTCGTATGATATAATATTCTCGTATCACTTGTCACTAAGTTTGGTTATCTGGATTTTGTAAAAGAAATTTCGCCTGATGGCTATTGATCAAGAACACTTTAGTGTCAAAAAACATCGAAGATAATCCTTAACTCGTAAAGACAGATAATCAATGATGGCAATAGTTCCTTTAAAGCGATTGGAGATGTCAACACTGCAAATAAAAGTGAATGACTACCTAAGAAAAGCTAAACCTAACACACGACTCTTAAAACTTCAAAACAAACCCGACGTTACCTTGTCGACAATGATGCAAGCATGTTCCAATAGAGCTGGTAACACTTCTTGTCGAGCCCCCTAATTTCCCCATTCCACTGTCCTCTTCTGCGAGTCCATGAGCCAGGGTCAGTCTACAGGTGAGCCACAGCCTAGCATCCAATCTTGAACGTGCTTGGTTATGGAAATAATGGTCCCCACCCCACCCTGAGACGGTACTATGCGCGGATCGGACCTGGCTAGACATGAGGGAAGGAGCACTGCAACGAAATAGAAACAATTCAACTTCTTGAAGTCACAATTATGTAATGCCTCCTTACAGTGTCAATACATCATACGGCAAATAGGTGATAAGGAAAAAAAGGGTTAAAACAAAAGGGTGTTCTCTCGATTTAGCCCTTAAACCCTATAGAGAAAACAGTATAGAGAATGTGCATTCTGTTGTTAAGATGCAATAGGTTAAACGTAATTCTTATATCTAATTTATGAAAATAAGGAACTTCTTTTTCTAAGTCTCAGTGGTTATCGGTGTTCACAGTAAAGATCGAGATATAAATAGGTGTAAAATTAACATAGCCTTTGTATCTGTACCATAGAAAATTCTGTAAGAAGGGAAACAAAACAGAATGTTTCAAGCCCCACTCTTCTCTTCGTTTGATCCAGCTTTACAACAGGCTTCAAGTTCGTAGAGTTACCACAACTTTCACGGATCAGACCCCCGATCTAAGAAAGTAAGGGGTTAAATTCTCGGTGATCACATGTTTTCCGCTTACCGTTTCTCTAAGTCCAGCTCATTCAAAATCGCAGCATCTTCCAACGCTCTCATGCACGCATACACAATGTTACCACTGGTTAGTGCATGATGTCGCTGACTGGCAATTTCCGCCAGCTCAAGTCGGGAAAGGCACACCTGTTCCAGATCCACAGAAGACATACTTAGAGCTGTCAAAGAAAAGAAAAAAGTCTTTGAAGTTGTTTCCTAGGTCTGAAATAAAAGATTCGCTAGAGAGGGCAACGCCATTCAAAGGGAAAAAAACGAAGGAAAACAAGGCTAGTTGAGACTATAGAGCATTTAGACAAATTGCGCATGACAAAATTGAAGAAATTCGCGGAGATTTTTCAGGATGTAGAAACTGCACTGAACCTCGTTTAACCCTTTCACTGCCAGGAGTGACCAATCTGTAATTTCTCCTTACAATGTCAATATATTGTCGAGAAGAGACGTAATGAGAAGAAAGATAGGCATCAGTCAAAGGATATTGTTTGATCGAATACTAAATTCTCAGCGCGAAGATTATGATAAATGTATGCTATACAGTGAAGAGAAGTGATATTTATATCTCAGTTTCAGATTATGATTAACAAACAGAAAATCAAAGCTGAAAACTCCGAAGTTACTTACGCTCATCTTCAAAACTGGCTTGGTCTGGAGCGTCTGACAGGGAGTCACACAAATTTGTCAATATTAATTCTGCTGTAGCCAACAAAAAACCCTGTAAAACAAGCATGAACATCGGCAACTTAGAAGAAATTGGTATTCTATTAGTGTTACAACAGAGCAAAAAGCAAATTATTTCTCATCGCGCATTATGTTTGAACTGCAATAAAACGGCGAGTAGGAATGCGTTTTACCTTAATAAGTTCTGGGGTAATGGTCGCTGGATCAATTAGCTTTCGTCTTTGAGCGACTTGACTGCTCTTAAGACTTATAACTTCATCTGGAAAAATGGAAGAAAAATCTAAAGTTTAGTAAATGCTTTAGATCAAAACATAATGTGCTGCGCGATTTGAAGGAGGGAATTGGGCGTATTCACACCAGCTGAGAGGCACAACCCAACAAACTGGATTCCTCAAGGGCTAACAAGCTCCTTACAGGGGCGAAGTAGAGGCAGTGATAGGGAGATTGCTATTTTGATAGGGGTGTAAATCTAGTCTGTGTAATGTCTCGCCGGTTTTGAGGCCTCTTCTCTCGACTATTTTCCGTCTTACCGCTGGACTTTTTCTTGGGGTTTTTCTTTCCAGTTGGAGACTGGGATGGTAGAGGGGGAACTGGTAACTCGAGCAATGCAGCTTCCTCTTCTTCCTTAGCCTCCAGATAACGGGTGAGTCTGAAAGAATTAAATAACATGGCTGAAATTCTTGCGGGAAACCTTTAAGGGAGGTACCGCTGTCCATAATGTATATAAGTATTCTTCTCTTTGAATGGGCGTTCAATTTACTTAGAAGTTAGAACACTCAAATTTTCAATGCTCTACGGCTCAGACACCAGTTATACGTCAGGTGTCAACGTGCTAGTTGTAAATAAGTACATACTCTTGGTGGCAGTCTGCTGGTATGGCATAAACTGTAGCCGCGATGGCGATCATCAGATGCGCATGGGCAATTGTGAGCTGTCCAGTAAGTTGTGGACCGTAAAGTACTAACAAGGACGGTTGCAGACGGTGATCCAACAAGTAGTTCAAAACCTGGAAATGCAATTAAAAAATGTAACTCCATTGATAATCAAATTGACTGCAGCAATCGGCTGACAGTCAATCCGTCAGTTATTCAGTTGGTCAGTCACGCTGTGCGTCCGTCTATGATCAGCCATTTACTCAGGTAGCCAGACTATCAGTCGTTCTGTACGTCAGACAGTCAGTCGGTTGGTTGATCAGTCACTTTTTAAATCAGCCAGTTCGTCGTCGGTCAATTGAGTTTTAAGTTCTGTAGATGTCAAGTAATGAATCATTTACAGTCTATAATCTTTCTCATTGGCAATCGTGGGAATCTCACACGATGCGTCATCAGAATGATGCACAAGGAAAAAGAAGATCCTTTAGCCCCTAAGAGTGACTAGCATCTAATTTCTCCTTACCATATCACCCCTGAATCAAACATGAAAGTCACGAGAATAGAGGAGATGATCACCAACTAAAGCAGCTCTTGATTGTTAAACAAATTCTCCTTGTCAGCCTCTTTGGAAATGTATGGAGAACAGTTTGGAGAATCTGCATACTGATGTTAGGGAGTAAAGGGTTAAGGCTGACTTCTATTATGGTACCAGATTTGGCAAAATTCATTGCGATGGTTTTCGCCCGGCGAAGGAACCATCGAAAAAAAGACACAACTAACTCAAGTCAAGGAAAAAGTTATGATAGTTGATTTCCATTTAAGTCTCTTCTGACCAGTCACATTACATGTGAGAAGCAACTTTATGCTCTTGTGAAAGAAAAGGATACCATACAGTGATATCTTTGAGTAAAAAAAAAAGGATGCCATAATTAGTCACTTACTGCTAAGTTGCCCGCACTCATAACAGACTCCTTGTTATTAAAAACTGGCGGAGGTTTCTACGGAGAATCAAATGTTCCACGTTTAAACAATGCACTGCATATATGACGTGAACAAAAGCAAAACGAAATAGCATCGCAAACGATTCAGTTGACCAAAGAACGTAAATACAATAGCAAACTGACAAAGTTATCTTGCAGACAACAAGGAAATACCGTTTTGTTTTCAACTGTTCTAAAACCGCCGTCAGAAACTTTAGGAAGCTTTTCTCCACGAAGCAAAGACGTCAAAACTCTTGCTGCTTCTGAGAACATCTCGAGATCGGTGAGGACACGGACCTGAATACAAAGATAAAAGTTATGCTTTAGAATCTCAGAACCTCAATAGAGAGAACCGTAGCGACAGCGGTGTAGAGACTATATCACTTCATCGCAGCTTTCAACTTGAGTAGGACTTCAAGCGCTGTTTTCTATCTACGCCTCTCATATTCACTCGATCAAACGCCCTCGTCGAATGAACACCGCAGATAGACGCAAAACGATAAATCAACGCCGCCCTCGAATAAAGCGCATCCAATCAGTAGGAAGGGTCGTTCTTAAATAGTTAAAAAAGTACCACGCTTCTTAGTAATAACCTACACTGTCCTTCATTCCTTAGATAAACAAATGACAAGCCATACCATCCGATTCCATCTCGGTAAAAAAAGTGATAAATTGGTGCTTTAAACAGTCTTTTAGTTATTCATAATTCCAAGACTCCTCACACGAGTAACATAAGGCAGGTTCTCACCCTGAGAATTCTTATATCCACAGATCGTTGCAGGTCACGTGCCACATGTGTGGAGAAGTACAAACACAGTGTGATCAATGGAAGAACCTGGCGAAAAATAGAAGCAAAACAACATTCAATTAATATAGCGACACACTTCAAAGAAAGTAAACAGCATTTGTTTGAAAGCGAAAGAGAATGACTCAAACAGCTGCAAGAGCAGTAATTGTAAGCTAACTTAAATAACTAGGAATATTAACACATCTTCAAGATAGGTAAGTGATCGATGGCAAGTTACAACTCCACCTCCCCCCCCCCCTCCTCATTATCATTTCGTCAATTTTTCCTAAAGGCCAACCATACCACATTTAAAACACAGTGACCAGGTTAGAATTCGAACCCAAACCTCTCGCTCCAAAGCAAAGCGTTATATCAATTTCGGGTAAGACCACTACGGCTCCTGTTTTAAGGAAACAATTTTTCTGCAATAGCTCTCTTACCGTTATGAGGTATCTTGCTCGAGCCAGTTCCTCTGTGATCCATCTAAGCGCGGCCAGAACTGACCGTCCATTACTTCTAAAAGCATTGGACAGAAGATCTATTCCAGGTATCAGTTCGGCCACCTCGCACCCAGCCCCTACCTCGTATAAAGCATAGTCTTTTTCCGCTGTGGGGTGGGGTAACGAAGAACAGAACAACGCCTGAAAAGAATTGAAAACGTCATGGAAATGCAAACAGAAGTCTACAAGAGGAAACAACGAGGATAAAGCTTCTCTCACCTTGAAGAATGTCGCGGAAAGGAGACAACATTCTAATCGGAGACCAAGGTTGGATGTGTGAATGTATCTGTAGAATAAAAGAATAAGAAAATCAAATGTCATAGAACTGATTACAGAATGATGAGAAGGGAAATCAGAATATAAGGTCATGACTTGTTTCTGAGGTCTACTCAAGGATAAGGCGAACGCATTAAGAAGCATTGCTTAATCCTTTCACCCGTGAGAGTGATGGCACCAAATTTCTCTCGACAGTGTTTTTTGCTGCATCAAACATCTAAATTATAAGGATAAATGAAATGATCACCATCTCAAGCTCTTGATTGTTAAAAAAATTTTCCTTGTCAGCACCTTCGAAAATGTAGAGAACAGTACGAAGAAAACGCCCTCTGGTGTTAGGTAGAAAAGGGTAAAAGCTACTTAGGAGTTTTTTACGCCTTCTTATTGACTTACTGTGCGATATTAGCGGCCAATACACCTCCTAAGAGACATCCCCATAGCCCACATCTCTGAAGAAGAGCAGCACCGGGCTTGAGTGACGTATCAGATGATGACGTCAAATCACGCCACGTTTTGAGCGAATCTGCTGTGTTGAGGATCGTGTCTAGAGACTCCGCCCACCACTTGTATGCAGCCCTGTGTTGGGTTCGTAAAAAAAGAAAAAATAGCAAGTTGTATTTTTCTGAACAAGCAGTTTTCCACGATTGTCACGCATACATTTTTTGTACATTTTTAAAATGTTTCAATGAAGGCTAATCTTTTCAAGAACTTTGTGATTGAATTTTTTGCAAATTTATTTTATTCATCTATGTAATATAATTTGCACCAAGGGCAAGTGATTAAAGTCGTGCAAAGTCTTTCATTTGTTTGCTTCCGTCATTTATGGCCCAGATAAAACCATGATTTTAAGGCGCTAGAGGAGTTTCTTTCACATCACTTGATGGGCGAGAAATTTCTCAGAATATGCGCTATTTCTATCAGGGTGGATTTTCGGATTCTAGCAATTTTACATCTCCTGAAAAATTTAATAATTTGTTTCTCAGAGCCTTTTTCCAAGGTAAACACTACCACTGAAATTATCACCACTATTATCATTATTATTATCATATATGTATTATCATAACTGTCACTTTTACAATTATCATCACTAGAATTATAGTCATCACTGTCACAATAACCAAAATTATTATCGTTGCTACTAAACACGTCTTTCAATTAAATACCAATCAGTCTTAGTGAAATATATCGGCAGTAGAGCACCGACAAGGATGCAACGAGTGGAAAGCACAGTATACAATCATGAATACGCCTGAAAATAATGACAATGACTAGAAAAACTCATCAATCGCAGGCAAGTACAAACCTAATATTCCCACTGTGAAACATTATGTTACCCAGTTCGTGCATAGCTTGAGCAGCCAGACTCTTCTGTTTGCGAAACTGTAACATTTCTGTGATGAACAAACGTAAAGTTAACAATTCCACTTAGCTCCCGCTCCGGGTGGCTCTGGCTTTTAAGCCTGTTAATAAAACCCTTTCGGATGATCTCATATATCAAAGCTTTTGGAAAATAATTTTTTTTGTGGTGCTGTTTATCATGCTTTCAACTTTTAAATCTGTGGATAAAACTCTTGTGTGAGAGTACTTCCGTGTAGTATTGTTCACAAGATGGTGATCAAGATAACCCTTTACCCCTTCACATGATCATACATAGTCACCTCTCTGTTCTCTTGGCATTTTCTATGGTACTGGTGAGGGAAATTTGTTTGCCAATCAGGAGCTTCCTAAATTGGTGATCATTTCCTTTTGTACTCATGACCTATTCATTTCATTCAAGGGCGATACAGTAAAAAGAAATTAGATGTCACTCTTAGGGGTTGACGGGTTTATGAACATCAAACTGTGCCATCATTTACCGAAAAGCTACAGAAAACACTTTTATACAGACTTGCATTTTAAACCCTAAACACGCGAATCACTTTTGAAACAAATCTATTGTATGAAGCCTACCAATTGTCTTATCGTAGGAAGCAATAACCACAGCCAGTTGCGATGGTTGAAGTGTGAATGTTTGCACATCCTCCACAGAGTCAAACGTTTCTTTCGTTAAATCCAGTGGAACATCTGTGGGAGGTTTCACTTGGCTCGGTAAGAACCCGACACGGGATGACCCGCGCTGCACACGGGTGCTTGTCCCGCCTAAGGAGGGAACATTTCATTACATCGTTATACAAAAGCCGTATTTATCACTACGACGAGCAATGTTTCATTAGAGCGATTCCATCCTCTGCTTTTACATTTACTTGCATATCGTATTCTCTTACCTTCCTGTTGGCCCGCGAGGTAACACAACAAAAGCTGTCGACTGTGATCTAGAGATCGAGCAGTGTGATGCTTCAACTCAAGAGCCTGGTGCAAAGCCTGGAGGCTTTTATTCACATCCAGAGGGACTGAGACGAGTCTCAGCGCGTCCACACTACCGCGGTACACATCATGGCCTTCAGGATCAATATGCACCGCGGGCTCAATTGACATGTACTCAGATGGCTTTATAAAAAACTCTTCAGCAATACCCGTTTCCTTGGAGACAGTGATGAGAGGTTGACTTCCTGACGGACCACCATGGTCATTGATTTGCTCATGAAGTTTTCGTTGTGCGACGATAAGGAGAGGTAGCACTGACTCGGCATAACGACTCCTGAGAACAAACAAGAAAGTTGTGTCAGAATGGAGGCATACCTCTGCTGGAAACCTTGCAAGCAGCTCGCGCTTTCTCCTTGCATTAAAGGTGATAAATTGTCATGCTAGTGTCATGAGCAATGTCATGCAATGGAGAATCAATAAACAAATTTAAGGTAATGAAGGAGATAGTTTTCAAATGACCAATCCCAATAAGGAGTTAATAAAAAATCAAATTAACCATTTTACTACTGTAAGAGACCGGCTTTTAATTTCTTCCTAAAGGATAATTTTTTAATTCAGTGTAACGTTCATGAGAATAAACGAAATGGTCTCCAATTCAAGAAGCTGCTGATTGCTAAACAAATCCTCCTAACCAGTACCACAGGTGATGTAAAGAGAACAGAGGGCCTTATAAGACGCGAAAAAATAAGGACCATGACACAGTTGAAAGCAAAGCCAACGATCAAAAGGGCAAAATGAATACCGAAAGTGAGAAAAAGTGAAAGGATTGAAAGGAGAAATGAAGTAACAAAAGTATTCCAAGACTTTTGTTCAAAATTTGAGTATGTCATGTGGTTGACTGGTTTATCAGTTGGTTCAACTGAAAAAAAAGCTAAAATATGAAATGTTTAAAGATCCTCATTTTATTCTTACCTGGTTAGCGCATTGAATCTCAAGATGATACTGACAGCCCTTTCCCATTTCCTCTCGTAGAACAACATCTCCACTGCGTAGAGTATAAACCTCTTCAGCCAGCGAGTGTCCGCAACATTCGAGTTGTCCAGCGGTATCTCAAACAACAAACTCGCTCCACCTCTCTCATCTTCAACTCCTCCCATTAGGCCTTGCTTCTCATTAATCAATAGATCTCCCCTCTTCACTTTGTCACGCTATTGAAAAAAGGGAGAGAATGAGTCACGTTAGAAGGCAGCGAGGATGTCACGCAAATGTCTACCAAACTCACGGCCACCGAGAGTCAAGATACAATTCCGGCCTTCGAAAGATTTAAGAAAATCATAGCCTAGAGTTTAATGAAGTGACCGGCGTTGGGGGCAAAATTGCTTGACGAGGAATCAACATTTGGTGTAGTCGGAATGCAAAGGGGGCCGAGGAGAGAGGAATTCGGGGGAATCACATGGTTTTCAGGGGGGAACAGAGAGGGATCACTCGCTAACAGTGTGTTAAGGGGGACTAAAGGAAATTGACACCCCCCCTCCCCAACTACACTAACGATTCATACCTTTTTATTTTGTTCAGATTCTGTTTTTGCCTGCTCTTGAATCAAAACCATCATGTCCAACAACCTGTCCGCCCCGAAATAGAACTTCTGCCACAGAGCCTTTCTCAGAACATCGATATCAGTGCTTCCTTCAGCCAAAGGGTCCTCAGCGAGGTGGAGCGTTCCTGCCACGACTCGCATGAGCACCGTTTGAGTCATGTTCCATAGGGCCCGGCAGGCGTTCTGTAGCATGATCCAGTACTTGCCACGATAAGTCAATACCTACGAATATATCGTTTACCAATCACTCTTACGTCTGAAGTGATAAATCATGTTGAATAACTCTGTGAGGATAATTGGCTGATGTACGGGTGAAACTATTTCCAACAAAAGAGCGCTTTACAATCGGGTACAATCAAAGTGCTTTCAATTGAGTGTCAGAAAACCAAAGTCATTACAACAACAATGAGAAGAGGGGTAAATACCCTTAAGAACCAATAAGAATTCAGATTAAAACCAAGCAAATTGCTCAAAGCGCGGGTAAACGCGGGTGGCCAAGTCGCGAACCAAAAGTGAGACTTGCCTCAACGAAAACGTCGCGAGACAAGTTCACCTTGCGAGTGTTACTGCCAGGGAGGGATTTTGCGTGAAAAGTACTGGGCCTACAGGTAACAATTGAATACGAGCCTGACTAATTTTTGAGACGGAGATTCTGAAAAAGGTATTGAATTGTTCCTTGAAGTGTTTTAATAAAACTGAATTTTTGTTCTTACAATGGCTCGTGATAAATGATCCAGCGCGGAGAGTAGGAAGAACATGGGTGACTTGCTTGCGGTGGAACCTTCACTTCCAGTGACCCCTGTCACTCTGCTACCTGTCCTGTTTGATCAAAGTGTCATGTCAGTCAATCATTCAAGCAGTCTGACGGACAGTCAAACCATGAATTAAGCAATCCATAGGGCATTCATTTAGTGTTTCAGTGAGTAAACAAACAACTGAGGGAGTCAGTCAGTTAAAACGTGATAGCCTTGACCATTCAAAAGAAAAAAAAAACAACAACAACAAAAGAAAACAAAAATTGGATCTTATTTCTTTACCGACAGTACGGCACATTGTGCTTAGAGAGGCTGTGAAGGCATTCTACAAGTTCTAATAATTACCTAGTCCCCTCCCGAGGGTGTGACCGCGACCCTGTTGGAGCACGCTGAGAAAATGGCGTATCCCTCGCTGATCCGCTAAAACCCATGGGGGGCTCGGGTGAGGCTCTTCTTGACGCACCAGCCCACGACACTATTAAGGTCCCGGATGTAGCATAGCCAAACCAATCAGGATCCATATACGAAGGCCTAGGAAATAAAAATGGAAATAAAAAAATCCAACAGCGTCCTAAGATCGAAGAAGAGATGTTCACATGTCTGTTACTAATATCTGATGGTGTTGTAAACTACAGGACTGGTAAAAGAAATCAAACTTTATAAACTCGTGTATCAAACCTGTATAACGGGTTTTCGGCGTCTCCTACGTCTGCCAAACGTTGTCCACTTTCTACTTTGTCAAGAAACAAATCAAAATTTGCACCCGCCAGAAGAATTCCCATCTGAAAAATGATGAAAACAGACAACAACGATGACGCTATCAGTAAACAGACCCTCTATTTTTCGCTTGGCCATTACGCCCGATCATTCAGCAACCATTTTCGGCTACAGTCAGGTTGAAAGTTGAAGGCAAATAAGAAATACTAGGCGGCTAGGTCACTGTGGGTGCCATTTTGTTTCGTCAGATTATGCGCAAGACTGGGAACTGTTCGGTTAAAATGTTCCAGGTACGAGGTTCGCACGAACCTTATAGCAGATTCTGGACGTGAAATCGATTCATACAATGTACCTATAGTCCTTTTACTGGTGTATTAAGTATTTAATACCACACAAAGCTGAGTAATAGTTGTTGTCCAAATTCCTTCGGTAGTATTTCAGCAATTTAACGACGTTTCATCCGCAATACTGCTAGAATAAAGTCACAGTAGCCGGCTTAAGGTGCCAGAATAGCTGACAGTTTTGACCCGCTACCAGCTGTGAATGACAACCGTCTGACATTGAGTTTAGGGAAATGACCAGACTTGCGGAAAAAAGGAGGGGGTATTACGCCACCCAAGCCGAGCCCCACATAATCAGAGCAGACTGAGTAAACACTGATCTTTCCCGCTATCTCACTATAATAGGTGGCAAGGAAAGCAAAGACTTTCTATTCTTGAATGTTTATTGCCATAGTCATCTAACATCAAAACATATTAGTACAAATCTGCACCTGGGCTCTCCATGGTAATTCTTCGCAGCTGACGGCTCGTAGCTTTTTTCTTCGCTGTGATGATCGCCAGTATTCTGGCAAAAAGCCCTGAAGTCGTTCAATCGCCTTGAAAGAGCGAGAATAAATCAGTCGTGTAAGAAATATAGTCATCGTAAAAGAGAGAGGCTTATGATTTGTACTGGTCCATGGCTGCCTGAGAACATCTCAGTTTCTGAGACATGAAGTGACCAGGGGTATCGCTACCCCCCCTCCTCTCTTCCCCCTTCCCCGCCAAATGGATTACCTGTCCGTCTCAGGTTATCTCCTCAGTGGTTTGTAAACATTCCCTGAGAGTTTGGTACCCATTTATACTACAGGGTGAGGAGGGGTACTGTAAATTTAGAGTTATACCCAAAAACACAACACAGTGACCCGCCAGATCTCGAACGTGACGAGGGAAACAAGTC